AGCGTCTGCGCGAGGCCCTTCAGCTCCTTCGCGTGCACTGGAGGATTTCATCCTCAGCCTTGGACTCTGCATTGACAGTCTGTAAGTCCTGCTGGCTGACCTGCTGCTGCTTGCGCAAGGCGTCGAGTTCCATCTTCTTTTGCCGAAGCTCCGCACCCGGACCCTCCGAGTGGAGGGCCCCCAGTCTCGGCGGACAGCGAAGCCTCCTGCAGCTGCTTCACCAACTTGGCCCGGGCCAGCTTGACCTCCGTGTTAGTGAGGTGGTGCTCCAACGGTTCCCTTTGCACGACGTGCTCCGTGCGCACACGCTTCCACGGCAAGTCACCAGGCGTTGCAGCTTAACCCCCTGCTCCTGGAAGATATTGAGTGGGCGGATCCAGCGGCGTTGGTGCTGGTCAGCTTCTCCTCGATCACTTTACTAACTGGACTGTTTCCCTGATCCCCGAGATGCTTGCTGCAAACCGCTGCTATTGCAAAGGCCTTACGGCCAGTGCCGCCGACCCTGGATACCTCGGCCCTCGAGGGTGACGGGATGAGTGATAAGACGTCGGAGGTAAATGAAGATGTGGCGGAGGAGGAGGCGGAGGAGGAGGAGGATGAGGAGGAGGAGGAGGAAGGGGAGGAGGAGGAGGAGGAGGAGGAGGAGGAGGAGGAGGAGGAGGAGGAGGAGGGGAGGGGGGATGAGGGGGGGAGGGAGGAGGAGGAGGAGGGAGAGGAGGAGGAGGAGGAGGAGGAGGAGAGGAGGAGGAGGAGGAGGGGGAGGGGGCAAGCTAGGTGCGCTCGCGTCATATCTGACGTCCTACCCCTCCCTCCCATCCCTTACCATGGCGCTGATTTTCTCTATCCGCGGACGCGTGTCGTAGCGGACCTGTGGCTCCGCGCGCGCGTGCGTAGTGGTGGTGGTGCGCGTGCGTGCGTGCCGTGTGTGCGTGGTTGTGGTGCTGTGCTGGTGCGTGCTGGTGCTGTGCTGTGCTGGTGCTGGTGCTGGGGCTGGTGCTGGTGCTGGTGCTGGTTGCTGGTGGGTGGTGGTGGTGGTGGTGGTGGTGGTGGTGGTGGTGGTGGTGGTGGTGGTGGTGCGGCGCGGTGGTGGCGGGCGGATGGGCGCGCGAGAAAGAGGCCCGCGCTGGGGCGAGAACGCCATCCTGAACGACGGAGGCCAAACACCGATCCGAAAATGAGGCCCACGCTGCAGCGGGAGCACGATTCGGAACGATTCGGGAGCAGAAATGAGGCCGGCGCCTCAGCGAGAGCAGCATTTTGAACCAAAAACGCAGGCGAAAACCCAACTCCCGGGAATCCTGTGTGTAAAAAACAGTACGCGGGGGGGGGGGTCGGCCACTCCCAGCACGCCATCAGGGGAAGAGGGAGAGTAGTATTCATATTGAGTAATTGTAAAGGGAGAGGGAGGGAGAGGGTCGCCCGGGGGGATTCGCATCTGCCCCCCCACCCCCCCACACACCCCCCCACCCCGGTGGGGAGGGTAAAAAAAATTCGCCACAACTACGATGTCCTTTTGTTTCGTGTTCGATTTCCTTTCATTCCCGGCGGAGCCGGGTGAAATGCCGTGCCCGCCGGTGACTGACTAATCGATTGACTGATTGATTGACTGATTGACTGAGTGAACGTTAGGAGGGCAGCTTGAACAACACAAACCGCCCGCGGGCGCGCAACCGCAATTGGGCGACACATTTCGACCCGTCCGCGGGCGCGCAACCGCAACCGCAACTGGGCGACACATTTCAACCCGCCCGCGGGCGCGCAACCGCAACCGCAACTACGCGACACATTTCAACCCGCCCGCGGGCGCGCAACCGCAACTGGGCGACACATTTCAATCCGCCCGCGGGCGCGCAACCGCAACCGCAACTGGGCGACACATCTCGACCCGCCCGCGGGCGCGCAACCTCAACCGCACCTGGGCGACACATTTCAAACCGCCCGCGGGCGCGCAACCGCAACCGCACCTGAGCGACACATTGCAACCCGCCGGCGGGCGCGCAAGCCCAACTGGGCGACACATTTCAATCCGCCCGCGGGTGCGCAACCGCAACCGCAACCGGGCGCCACATTTCAACCCGCCCGCGGGCGCGCAAGCGCAACCGCAACTGGGCGGCACAATTCAACCCGCCCGCAGGCGCGCAACCGCAGCTGGGCGACACATTTCAAACCGCCCGCGGGCGCGCAACCGCAACCGCACCTGAGCGACACATTGCAACCCGCCCGCGGGCACGCAACAGCAACCGCAACTGGGCGACACAATCCAACCCGCCCGCGGGCGCGCAACCGCAACCGCACGTGGGCGACACATTTCGACCCGCCCGCGGGCGCGCAACCGCAACCGCACCTGAGCGACACATTTCAAACCGCCTGCGGGCGCGCAACTGCAACCGCTACTGGGCGACACATTTCAAGCCGCCCGCGGGCGCGCAACCGCAACCGCACCTGGGCGACACATTTCAACCCGCCCGCGGGCGCGCAACCGCAACCGCAACTGGGCGACACATTTCAACCCGCCCGCGGGCGCGCAACCGCAACTGGGCGGCACATTTCAACCCGCCCGCGGGCGCGCAACCGCGATCTCAAGTGGGCGACAAATTTCAGCCCGCCCGCGGGCGCGCAACTGCAACCGCACTGCTCACCTGCCGTCCTCCTCCAGGGGATCTGAGGCGGAGGAAGGGTGGGAGGGAGGGGGAAGGGAGAAGGGAGGGAGGAGGAAGTAGGGGGGTAGAGGAGACGGAGGGAGGGTAGAGAGCTCACAATGATTGGGGGCGGACAACTTCTGACCCCCCCCGTTCCACGCAAGTGGATCTCCACAAGGCTCCAGACCCTGGATTCCTTATCCAAGGCCTCCACGGTCTGCTAGCGGGATGGGTGGGTTAACCGCCCCCGAGGGGGGAGACCAGGCTTTGACAGAAGCGGTCCGTTGCACCGCCTAGTTTGAAGTTGGGGGGGGGGCGATGCCGCGGGGATCGATTGCGCGTTCACCCGCGCGCAAGCTGCACGCGGATGTAGGTGCATCGGCGCCGTCTTATTCATGCAGCCTGCCGCGTCTTATCCATGATCTGGCGCAGGAGCAAGTGGAGGAGGAGGGGGAGGAGGACGAGGAGGAGGCAAGGGAGGAGGAGGAGGAGGAGGAGGAGGAGGAGCAGCAGCAAGACGAGGAGGATGAGGAGGAGCAGCAGCAGGACGAGGAGGAGGAGGAGGAAGAGGACTATGATGGCCAGGAGGAGGAGGACGATGGGGAGGGGGATGCCCGGGTGGTGCTGCTTGAGAAGGTGCACGAGCAGGTGCTTGTTGCGGAGGACTGAGGAGGATGAGGTGGTGGACGTCAAGGAGGATGGAGGTGGATGTCCTCCTCGCGGCCTCCGCGCGTGACCCGCGGTTCTCCGCCGGGACATTGCAGCGGGGAGTCCCCATTCCACGCTGCTGCCTCTGATTCAATCGATTCGCTCATTCCGCCTGCCCATGTTATAGCATCGCTGGCACTTGCTCGCGTGCTCGGGGGGGCATTTGGGGGGGCCTCTTGGGGCCGCTTGGGGGCTTCTTGGGGGCCTCCTGAGGGCCTAACGGGGGCATCTTATTAGGCCTCATGTGGACCTGTAGGGGCCTCTTGGGAGCCTTTTTCGGGTGCCTCTTGGGCGTTCCTGGGGGCCTCTCGGGGCCGAGGGCTCGAAAGATCAGTGCGGGTCTCCCGTCTGGACCCCCTCTTGGAGCTGTCTTGGGGGCCTCTTGGGCTGTCTTGGAGGCCTCTTGGGTCGTTTTGGGGCCCTCTGGGGCGGTTTTGGGCCCTCTTGGGGGCCTCTTGGACCGTCTTGGGGCGATCTTTGGGGCCTCTTGGGCCGCTTTTGCCTTTGTGAAAGCTCAAGTGGCGAATATTCTGAAAACATATGTTTTTTTTCTAAGGAATGGGACGATTTGTTCCTCTTGGGGCCCTCTTGGGGCGCCTCTTGGGGGCCTGTTGAGGCGTCAGGAAGCCATCTGGGAGCTTTATGGGCCTTTTGGGAGCTTGTTGGCGGCCTGTTGGAGCTCCTTGGCGGCGTCTTGGGGGCCCCTGGAGCCTCTCGGGAAGCTCGCGGGGGCGAGAGGAGGGGTGATCGATTGCGGCTCCCCCCTCGGAAGCCACAATCCTCGTGAGGGGTGTCGAAAAATTGCCCTCCCCTGGAGCTTCCTGGGGAGCCTGGCCGGGGATCGCCCGGGGATCAGCCAGGGATCGGCCGGGGTACTTTTCGTCCGGGGACCCCCAGGGGCCGCCACGCGCGCGCGAAGCAGAATATTGTTAAACAGTTACCGGAGATCTTAGCACGCCGCTGGCCCGTTGGGCCGGCGAATTTCGGGCGACGACGATGGCGACGACGACGACGACGACGACGACGACGACGACGACGACGACGGTGATCCACGCAAGACGACGACACCTGGATGCGTCTTCCACACGCCGACAGGGTCGGCGGATATTGCACGGCTGTCCCTGTTTAGTGACCTGGTGGCTCGTCTCAGTTAGAAGCCACACATCGGGATGACACTGGGTGTTGCGGCTCTTGCTATTTGGGAAACGCGCGGATTCATATTATTACCCGAGCACACACACACACACACACACCGCAAGCAGAAGCTCCACAGCAAGGGCTCGCCACTGCTTGATGGAGAAGAGAAACAGATCGAGATCCATTTGACATTAGCCACTCCCCCATCCTCGCCGTGCTGGGCACGTCGCCGCGCGCTGCAGTCGCAATCATTGACGCACACGCGCGGCAGAAGCTCCTTCATCATCCTTAGGCCGCCTGCCGACGAGTACCACGGGAGCGAAGCCAAGCCGCTGCCAGCTCCTTGGACAAAGAACTTGAACCAGAGTGGCTCCAGGGGTAGAAAGGGAGGGGGAGGAGGTGGGAAGGGGAAAAGGGGAAGGGGGAGGGGGAGGAGGAGAGGGAGGCCGAGGGGAGGGGGAGAAGGAGGGGGAGGGGGAGGGGGAGGAGGCGGAGGCGAAGGCCCCGGCCCGCGAGGCGCTTGAGTTGGAACTCCCCTTCGACGAGTCTGGCATGCTGCAGGACCTCCAGGAGGCCGCAGGGCCCGCCGCCCGCCTCTCCCAGCTTTCGGGGGGTCCCCTTGTCGAGGAGTGTGGCGCAAAGCGAGGAAGAGGATGAGAGGGAAGGGGGGACGATGGGCGGGCATGTGACGGAGGGGAGCGCTGCACTTCTAGGTTTTAAAACGTTCGGCGGAGGGTTTTCTGAGGCTTCCGAAATCCAAGATGTCCTCCCGGATTCGTCCGAACTGACCCTCATTGGTGCGAGTTACGACAGAGAAGCCGTCTTGAAGGCAGGTTGTACGGGACGGGGATACGGATTGGGACAGGAGGGAAGGGGAAGAAGAAGGAAGGGGTGGGACAGAGAGGAGGGGGGAGGGGGAATGGAAGGGGAGGGAAGCGTGGGGAAAGGGAGGGAAGGAGAGGAGGGGAGGAGGTAAGGGGAGGGAAGGGGACGAGTGAAGGATGTCAGTAGGAAGAGAAGAGAGCACGGGCTGGGAGGGGGGCGCAAAGGGAAGGGAGTAAAGGCGAGTGGAGAGGAAGAAAAAGGTGGAAAGGGGATGGGCGAGGGCGATGGGAGGAGAGAGGAGGGGAGGGCAAAAGAGAGCAGTGGAAGAGGGATCAGAGGGAGGACAACGGAGGGGAGCTCACGGCGCACGCGCAACAGGACTTATTCAACTGGTACCTCACGTCCCCGCGGCACGTTGTGCAAGAAGCCGTGTTTGTCCGACTCATGTAGTGGGTCCAGTGCCTCTGGGCTCGAGGCCAGTTGATCATGTTTCTTGCGCCATGCCGCCGTGCGCATCGCAGATTCAGTTGGCTGGCAATATGGCTGCACCGACGGACACTAGGCCGTTGGGGGCGGGCACGGCGCGCGCTACCTCTGCCTCGGCTACGCGGCTCGGGGGCCCAGGAGGTGTCTGCCTCGGCCGCGGAACACGTTCGCTTGTTGAAAGCGGCATTCGGGGTACAGAGCGCGCGCTGCGAGTGAGCGATTGCCGTGCGTCGTCTCGCCTCCCTCCCCCTCATCCCATCTCCTGGCTCCCCCATCACCTGCCCTCGCTGCCCCCCAGTCCCTCCCCTCCCGCCATCTGTTCCTTCCGCTCCCCCCTCCTTCCCCACCTCTTTCGAATCTTCCTCCTCCTCCTCCTCCTCCTCCTCCTCCTCCTCCTCCTCCTCCTCCTCCTCCTCCTCCTCCCCCGTAGCCATTTTGGCTCAAGGCCTTAGTTTCCCAGGGGAAACAAGTGGATACCGCTAGTCCGCGGCTAGACCTCTGCCTCTTTTGACGCACCGCTGCGTGAGCCGCTCCCTGGCGACGCAGCTTCGAGAGTTTGCCTTCACCGCGGGAGTTGGGCACCCGCCACGAATGCCAGATCGCACTGAGAAAAAGGACAAGGATAAGAAGGATAATAAAGAAAAGAAAGATGGGAAAGTCAAGAAGAGCATCAAGAGTGACGGCACCCCTGGCAGACGGCGGCAGGGGCGCTCGCCGTCGGACGATGGCTCTGGCAAGTTGTCTCCTGTGTCTGTTGCTTCGACTCCTTTGCACACACCGCGAGCTGCGCGACATGATCGACGCGGGCAGGACGCGACTCCTGGCATGCGGTATCGCAGCAGCTACGGCGGGCGCTCCACGGGCGCCGAAGCCCGCTCACACGATGCTGGGTCTGCACCTGATACCACGGCCCTTCTGGAGGAGCTGGCAGCTGCCCCCACGTTCCCCTCGCAGGAGCTGGTGGGGGACATCGGGGGCGCCGCCGCTGGCAGCCTGGGCTCCCAGATCTGGTCGACCCCACCACTTCATCCTCGCCCTGGACGGGGATTCGATGAAGCTGGAGCCATGTCCCCGTCTGGACCTGCCGCGGCGACCCCTCCTGCCGATGGGAGGCCTCATGCTGGAGTGGACCCATGGGCTGCATCATCTGCCCGTGCCGCTGTCCAATCGGAGCTTGCTGGCATGCGGGAGAGGTGGACGGCTGAGATTAAGGCTGCATCCCACGCTGCGATCACGGAGGCCATGGCAAAGTCACTGCCCATGGTCCTTGAGAAGCACTTGGGCTCCGCCGTGGAGGTGGCCACTTCGCCGGCGTTGCAGCGCATCCAGCAGTCGTTCGACACTCGCCTGGCGGAGATGGATCGCAGGTTCCAGGTCTTCAGTGAGCGCCTCACCGAGCAGGGGGATAGCGTCGCGGCCCTGTCCGCGCGGCTCAGCCACCTTGAGTCTCAGCTCGACCTCGCCCGATCGCGTCCTCGGCCTCCTGTTGAAAGATCGGCCAACTGGGACCGCGAGATCGACCGCGCGATCTTCACGATCAACTGCAAAGAGGAGGTCCTTTCGGGTTCTGTTCAGGCTGCCATCGGCCCATGGCTCCAGGAGGCGGGGTACACCATCGGCGACCAATTCGACCTGGAAGGCTCGAGCATCTCGCGACGCTTTGTCCTTCGCTTCAAAGGCGACATGGATGCGACGCTGGATTCGCGCATACGCCATGCTTTCGGGGCACTGCGGGATGACCGCGGCACATGGCGCCGCTTTGCTGTCGAACTTCCTCTTGGTCGGACGGTCCCGCTTTACATCGGGCTCGACAAGAATCGGCACACCCAGACCAGGGAGCTGGCCGTCAAGAGGGTTGCGCGCGCGCTGTCTGAGCACCTCGGCGCCCGCCTCTTTGGAGACCGTGACTCGGGCGTGGTCAGCCACCGGTGGGAGCCCCTGGTCTCCGTCGTCGTTGACCCCGTCGAGGTGCCGAGGATCCGCTGGAACAACGCCAAGCTTGCCGACGTGCGATTGGAGAAGGGCCCGCTCGACTCATTGGTCAAGAATCTCTTCCTGCGCCCCACCGTCAAGTGGGATGGGCAACACTCTCATGAATGCTACTGAAGTGCGATTTGTGTCATGGAACTGCTTCCCCCTCTGTCACTACCTGTCCCAGGGCATCGACCGCAAGCTCTCCATCCTCAACTCCCTCTACTCCGACACCTCCATCATTGCTCTTCAAGAAGTTCGTGGGAACGAAGCTGCCGTTGACGAAGCGTTGCAGCGGGCTGGGCGATCATTCTCGCGATTCGTCCCAGAGCCCCCTGGTGCTGAGATTGGGGGTGGGCTGGTTACTCTTCTACCTGAACATTTATCGCACTCCCTTCTTATTCGGCGAGTGCGCGAAGTTCCTGGCCGCGTCCTGGTCTTGGAAATTCGACACCGCATCGCAGGCTTCACCTTCTTCCACTGGAATGTGCACCACTACGGCATCGACAAGGCCGGCCTTCTTCAGCTTCGTCATCTGGCGCGTGCTCAACAAGATGGCGCCCTTCGGCATCCGATGCGGTTCGCTCAGGTCTTGATCGGCGACTTCAACATCTCTGATGCCACCGCTGATCGCTCTACTGCTGTGTCTGGGCTTCCTCAGCAGCCGAGTCGCTCACTGAGGACCTCCACCACCGTGGACCCCTCCCCACCTACGCCCTCCAGCGCGAGGCCACTCTCCGCTAATTGGGGCGCGCCGTGGGGGAAGATGTGCTCTCGAGTTCGGGAGCTCGCTAAGACTGGTGCGGACGCGGCCTCTCTCCTCCGCATCCACGCCACCAGAGTTGCCCCATGCGCGTCGTACATAGCCCAGTTCCCCCCCCCCCCCCCCCCCCCCCCCCTCCCATGGGCCCTCGGCCGCGCGGAGCGCTTCTGGTTTTCAAGGTATTGGAGGTGTGCCGCCTCGGCCATGGGAATGTCTGACTGGCTCTGCCTCGAGGCCATAGGTGGCCCGAAAATTTCAGCCCTGGCCTCAATGTGCGCCGCAGCTCGGATGCGATGTGCACTGGTCACTCTGCCGCGCTCTTGGCAGCCACTGCTGCGCCGTCTCCGTCGCGTGGCAGAGGACCACGGGCCCCTCTCTGCTCTGGGCTCCTCCTCCCTGTCCCTCAGCCCCCCTTTCTGGAAGATGGATGCCATCGCTGCCTTGATGGGCCACGCCGCCGAAGGCTTCCCTGGGACCCAGCGACCGCGTGAGTGGGGTGGGCCGTCTTGGGGGGCGGGTTGGCGGGAGGCTCTTCGGATGTTCGGTGCTGGATCCCAGGAAAAGCGTCCGACATGGCAGCGTGTGTTCGGCGCCACCCTTCAAAAACAAGTTTTTGACTGCACGATCTTCGTGGCGTTGGAACGGCGCCTCCAGAAGTGGCACGGCGAGCCCCCTCCGTCGCCTGAAGAGGGGGGATGGGAGCGGCTACAAGCGCTGCTTGCCTCTCTCCCAGGAGCCTGGAGAATCTGCTTGATTAAGACGTGGTTGGGTGCCGGGCCCACCAATTCGCACATGCAGCGCGATGCTCAGTGTGTGCTGGGATGTGAAGATAGCCGCGACTCAGTCGACCACGATTTCGGGTCGTGTCGTCGGCTCCACTGGCTGGCCTCCCTGGCCTGCAAGACCCCGCTGCCAAGCAAGTGCAGGTTTCGGCTAGGTCTCCTCGGGTCGCCAGCGTTTTGTGTTTATCTATATCACGCCTACCGATTGGCTGTGCACCGCTCGATCGGATCAGATCCTGCCCGTGCTATGTCTATTATTCAGGCCATCCGTGTTGCGGCGCGTCTCCCGACGAGGGGGCGCCAGCGTCGGCTCCTCGACCTCCAAGCCCTCCACAACAGCGTGGTGAAGGCTCGTGGGGGGGAGTCAGAGTAGTGTGGGACGAGGGACTCCTTCGGTTACGCTCCACCTCCTCCTCCTCCTCTTCCTCTTTCTCTTTCTTCCGCTTTCTTCCTCTTCCTCCTCCTCCTCCTCCTCCCTATCCCCCTCCTCCTCCTCCTCCTCCTCCTCCTCCTCCTCCTCCTCCTCCTCCTCCTCCTCCTCCTCCTCGTTGCTTCACTTTGGCGCACCACGCCAAGCATCGCAAGCCATGTGGGTTGGCTGGAATTCGGCGCGTGGGAAGGACCAAAGTTCCCAAGCACGCTGGCAATGGCAGCTGCGGCGCGAACGAGTACAGCGACATGCACGGCCACGTCGTGGCGGGAGATGCTGCCCAAGCTTCGCGGGGCCTTCCGGGAGCACGGCATGCTGGCGCACTGGGCTTCCCAGCTTTAGCGTGGAGACTTGAGGAGGCTGCGCTGGGCTTCTGGCATCACCCGCGCCTGCAGGCGGCGGGCCGTGAGTGCCGCCGCCTCCTTCCTCCTCCGCCCCCTCCTCCCTCCTCTCCCTCCCCCTCCCTCCGCCCCGCCACCGCCTCGCGCACGCGGCACGGCCTACAGCGCCGCCTCGCGCAGCTTTTCGCGCAAGCCCTCTACCCCCCGGACCTCGCCACAACGCTCGAGTTTCGGATTCGTAAGTGGTTCGTGCCCGACCTAGGCTCAGTCGTCTCGTGGGCAGGGGTTCGTGCAGGTATGGGGCCACTCCCACACGCGTGGTGCTCCGCTGCGCTCAAGACGTGGCTAGGGGGTTGGGCTACATGTCACAGGATGCGGAGGCCCCAAGGAGTGTGCATCATGGGGTGCCCAGGAGCACCCGACACCCTGACCCACTACGTGAACGAATGCCCGTGCGCGGAGCGCATCGTAGCAGAGGCTCTAGGTAGGGAGGTCTCCTCTTACCCTCTCCACCACCTGGGCCTCATCTCGCCTACTCACCCGCGCAACTTTGCTTTCGTAGTTGCGTACTTCCACTGCCACCGCCTGGTAGCCCACAGAGGTCCCCTAGGAAGGGGGGTGCGTCCGTCTGAGATCGCCTCCTTGGCCGAGGACGTGAAGACTGCAATGAAGATGCCCCTCTGGGGACCAAACGAGTTCCTATGGGCTCAGTGCTGAGGCTTCTCGAGGCGACCCCTCTTTGGGCACGCTCGACCTCCTCCTCCTCCTCCTCCTCCTCCTCCTCCTCCTCCTCTTCCTCCTCCTCCCTCTCTCGTGCGCTTGCCCTTTCGATTGGCCACGCCGAGGTCATCAAGCTTCAGCTTCGCATATCCACTGCGGGACCCTCAGTATAGCCCGATCTGAGTCTCACGGCGGCAGCGCCCGACGCCTACCTCGGAGCTGGGCATGAAGGGAGGCAGGAGGGGCGCGGGAGTTGGACAAGGAGGAGGAGGAGAAGAAGGAGGAGGGGGAGGAAACGTTGTAGAAGCAGGAAAACGACGAGGAGGGCGAAGAGTGAAAAAGGTCCAGCGGAGAATCCAGGATTGCCCACGTCGCGATTACATTGTCGATCATCAGATTGATGTCACTTGCCCCGTCCCTTCGGTACGTATCCGTGTTCCTCCTCCTCCTCCTCCTCCTCCTCCTCCTCCTGCTTTTGGACCCGTTCATCTTCTCCGTTGGTGTCGTTGCGCCCGCGGCTCCTCAGGCTCTTCGTGATGCTTTCTCTTCTTGGATTGCAGATGCCAAGCTCCAGAAAGATCATGTCGAGTTGGTCGGAGATGTTGTGGCCAGGTGGTTCACAGTGCGAACGCTGGGGGACAAAGCCGGAGCCATATCAAGAGCTACAGCACTCGTGTGGAGCTTTCGTACGTCATCTGGCTGGCGCTCATCCTCAGTCCTCCCAACAGAAAAATTCAGTTGTTCCGATCTACGTCTCAACAAACAAGAGTCCCAAGATGGTTCGTGGAGAGGTGCAGTCAAAGAAGATATGCAAAATCCTGGAGGAGAGGTACCCGTCTATCACGTGGCGCTGCAGGCGTGCCCAGTACCAGATATTGGTCAATACAGTACCGTGCTGTCTGCTTGAGCCGCGTGGGCAAGATGTGCCTACTCGTGTCAAACGGAATGTACTTGCGACGGCCCAGTTCAATATTGACCAGTCCGCAGCGGAGGAGGCGTTCAACTCAGCTTCCTCGGCAGTGGAGGTACAATGGTTTGGGTAACTCTTGCTGGGTTCCGTGAAAGCCCTATCTTCGCGATGTTTAGAATGGATGTTAAGCGATTAGTTGCAATGCCCGCAGCTTGCTACGTATTGGTTCTCGGAAGAAGAACGCCAAAGTACGAATCCCAATTGAATATATGCACCAGCGGTATCTTATTGTCCTTCAGGAGGTTCGTGGGGATGCCCTGCGTCTTCAGCGACTTGTGGACGGCACCGAATTGTTACACATACGAATGTTTCATGTATGGCACGGATGTATCAGCTGGTGGAGTGGCACTTCTCGTGCACTGTCATCCGCATCATCTGCCCGTTCCTGAGGAGATGAAACCAGTGTGCGTCCTTCGCACGATCGTGCCTGGCAGTGCGGCCGCTCTGCACATTCCGTCCTCTGCGCACGCCCACTCCTTCTGGATTCTGCGGTCAACATGACAGAGCAGCAGCTTCGTGGGAGTCCGCGCTGAACAACTGGAGCCCAGCGTAATCACTGCCGTTTTTTTTCTGCGCGACAGTCATCATATTTCACCCTGCTCGCGCGCCGTCCGGCGCAAGGCTTACGTTCGCTCGTTCACTTGGCCTCCTCGGGCCTTCCCGGAGGCCCTGTGGGGGGCCTCTTTTGGGCCATCTTGGGACCCTCTTGGGGGCCTCTTGGGCCGTATTCGACAGTGTTCGAGCTATCTTGGGGCGACTTGATGGCCTCCTGGCCCGCCTGGCGCCGTCGGAAGCCATTTGGGGGGCCTCACCTGGGCCTACTTGGGGTGCTCCAGGGACGTCTTGGAAGCCTCTTGGACCGGTTTGGAGCCCTTTTGGAGCCGTCATGGGGCCATTTTGGGCCGTGTTGGGTGTATTTGGGAGGCCTCTTGAGCGATCGTGGGGCGATGTGTGGCTGCTTTTGGACCGTTTCAGGCCGTCGGAAGGCTTAAAAGAAGCAGGCGGCACATTTTCAAAAACTTAAGCATCATCAGTGATTGTGGCCTCGTCGCGCGTGTAAAATCCGCTCACTTCCCTATTACATCCTCTCTCTCACCGCAACCACTTTGGCTCAAGGTATTGGCAAGCACTGACGGCGCACTGCTCCTTATGCAGTGCCCTTGAAAAGGAGTCCGACTCCTCGCCTCTACCTACGGACCCCGTATAGGAACGGCCCCCAGGCCGTGTTTCTATACACACAGGTTATCAGCCTTTTTTGTTTTGCTCTTCGCTGTCGCAATTCGCGCCATCTTGGATTCCGCCGCTTGGCGCCGCAACCCCGTTGCCACGCCCGTTAGCGCGCGAACTCTTCGACGGCGCGCTCTCGAGACGGCGCCATGGAGAGGGCAAGAGAATCTGTGATACCTATTTCCCCCCCCTTTCAGGAGAAGGCAGTGCTGCGTCTCTCGCGGCTGCACTCGGCGAACTCTTACCCGAACGGCTGGACTCGCATCCCGCAGCGCCTGATACATCCGTGTCACGCCCGTCGGTGGCAACACCCACAGCTGCCCCGTCTGCCGTCGGAGCCGACGCTGGCTTCACTACGCCCCCATTCTCCGCCCACCTCCGCTGACACGAGCGGCGCCGGTGGCAACGCCCGCAGCGGCCATCGCACCGCGAGCGCGTCATCTGACATCACTTTCGCGCGCAGCCTCCGCTGGGCTACGGCCCCGTCGCCCACCAGTATCTCCGTCTCTGAACACGTGCGAGTCATAGAAAACCGTAGTGTACGGACGTCTCAGCGCCAGGTTCCAGACAAGGTATCACATTCGCTCTCCTACTAGGGACGCCAGCCGCAGCCCCTCTCAACAATGTTCCCGGCATGGCTCTCAACAGCGCAACCTCTTTGCGCATTCTTCTCCCACTGCCAGTGATCTGGCAGAGCTACGAGACCAGGTTGAAACTTACACGACCCAACAGCGATCGGGTCTAGCCGCTCAGACGGCCACCATCAGACAGGAACAAGCTCTTGCCTTGGTTGACGCCAGGATCGCTGAGGATCGATCGATCATCTCCTAGGGACACTTCCAGGTCGACCAAACGGAGCCACACCGAGGTGTCGACTCCAGAACGATCCAGACGCTTCACGATTATCTCCGACGGATGGAGGCCCAATTCGTGACCGTCAGGGATACAGGGGCTGCCGCTGTCAGGACACTACACGATGAGCTATGGTACGACGGACCCACCGATGGAGGTACATGGAACCACGGATTCTCAGCTACGTGAGGACATGGACACGCTTCGCACTCAGGCCCAACAGCATGCTGCCACCATACACTTCACCCACGCCACATTCACGTCAGAGTGAGATGGTCAGCTGCGCGGCGCCGAGATGGCCCTCACTCGCCGTCTTGAAGCTCTCGAAGGACGCGCGCCAAGGCTCGAGAACCGAGTCTCCCAGGTCGAGCATCATATCCCCGAAGTAAGGACTGCGCTGGCTGAGTTGCGTGTTATACGGACCCAGACTGATCAGCTGCGCACCGCGACTTCGGTTTACGATTTCGCCTCTTTTGAAGCCCACATGGCCGAGTTACAGCAGGCGGCGGACCACGCGCAGCTACGACTCACCCAGATCACCCAGGAAAGAGACACTGAAAAAAAACACAGGCCGAATCAATCATAGCCCTTTTGGAACAAGAGCTCGAAGCACACAACCGACGACTCCAAGACCTTGAGCGCAGGCTGGACAGGCACTCCCAGCGGACCCACGGTACCAACGTCGAGCTACTTGGTCTTCACCAGAGTGTCCAACAGATGCAGCACAGCGTTTCGACCAACGGAGCTACACTGACCACGCGCGTTAGCAACACTGAGGCACACACAGAATTCGCGACATGACCTGCATGCTTGCCAAATGCAAGCGCGTGGGAAGAGAGGGAGGGGGGGGGGCCGGAGGGGAAGGGGGAGGGGGGAATCACACAATGGTGCGAAACTGCATGCTTGGATCAATCAACATACCAAACACACAAGTATCTGATTCAGAAAGCACGGATGCGTCAGCGGCGTCTTCGACGACCACCCCGTTACGGCGGAAGCTCGGGACTGAAAGAATAGAGGATTTTGTCTCGAAGTGTTGACCGCCCAAACCTTTCAATCTCACAGTGCCGCCCTGCAAACTTTGTACACGGCTACCCTTTGAGATATGGCCTTTCAAGCTCCGTAAGATCAACGACCCCTCGTGCCCTTCATTCCGGTCTGGGGTGCAATCAACCACGTTGGTGCTTAGAGCTGCCGGCGCAACATCCGAAGTGTTTGCCTGTATATCAGACCTCTCGCTCGTTGTACTCCCGGACGGCGTCTGCGAAGGTACCGAAGCCATTCCAGAGCAAACTTGCACGCCCATGTTGCAAGTATCAATAATGTCCGTCTGCGTTGCTCGACCATTGCACCGTGAGCGCCGGGGTTTGGGGAGCACTTGAGTTTGGGATGCACGTGAAGCGCAATTTTCCCTCAAACTGTTTATCTGCACTGCCACATCCTTGTCTGAAATGTATGATTGAGTTTGGGAAGTGCGGGAAACGTATTTATCCTCCAAGATGGTTGTCTGAACTGCCACGTTTTTGTCTGACATATCGTAAACTGCGGCTTCCACAAATGATCCATTCCCAGAATTTAATTCACAAGCGGCTTCCTTGTCAAAGAAATATGGCTCCTTCTTCTGCGATTTCTCGGCATTTGGTTCTTCGCGCCCCTTGCAATGTTCACATAGTTTGTCGATGTTTTTGGACACCAGCGCATCAACGCATTGAAAATCATGGAAACTCTTGCGGAACATACGTAATTCCATACTGCGCACTCTCTTCTCGATCTCTACCAAAGCGTTGGTGTTATTTTCAATGTGTTGCGCAACATTGTCTGGATCATGCTTCGCTTGAGGAGTAATGCGTGCACCTATGGAATCCAATCGGCGGAAAACTTCAACAAATTGACTCATCACCAAATTTTGAAATTCCACTGTACATGCGTGCCGCCGCCGGTTGCGCACTGGCCACGACGACTCTTTCCCGGGTGAGTCCAAGACTGGAGGGGCAGAGGAGCAACGGTCGATGTCCGTCATTTGGCAAAGAAGTTGTAAGGTGTGAGTGCTGTGTTAAAAAGAAATCTATGCAGATTATGCTTGATGTTTGGTGCTTGAGCCAATAG